AGATTCTAGCGGCACAGAGGATGAAGGAATGGGGGGAGGGAAAAGGCGCCTTCTCAGTTCAAAAAATTTATCTCGCCTATCAAGAATTGAAGAAGATCCAACTGGACCTTCAACACACAACTACGGACTCCGGGGAAATTCTTCAAGCAGAGGGACAAGAAGTGCAACAAGGTCTGCACCAGGATCAACTATTTCTTTGGATTCGAAAAGCTCAAATCCCACCGTTAGGCGCTATGAATTGCGTCGGAGGAGTCCAATAAGCACCTCGTCCCTTGGAAGCGGATCTCAGTTTGAAGATGAACCAGAGGAGCCACATCAAACAGATGAAGTGCCCGAAACAGAAGATTTGGAGAGGGAAGGAATTACAGTAGAGATGGAAGAAGGTCCTACCAATGAGCCTCGGATGAAAAAAGAAGAATTGCGAGCCTTACAAAATGTGATCTCTCAGACGAAGATACCGACTTGGGTTTCAAGAGTGCCTCACAATTTTGGAATGGCAGGTGCTGGTTCCTTGAAGGCGGCAGATTGGTTGATTCTATATACAGTTTACTTCCCGCTTGCCATTGTTCCATACTGGGTGATTGGGGACGACAAACAGAAGGAAAATACTACTGGATCAAAAACAGTGACACACCAAGATGTCCTGAGGGACTCGTTGATAAAACTGATTGAGATTACAAACATTCTAATGAAGCATCAGTTGAACAAGAGTGACATCACCAATTACTCAAAACTCATTGTAGAATACCGACAAACACTACGAACAGGCTGGCCCACACAGGATACCAAAGAAAACCTCCACTTATCCCAGCATTATCCAGTAGTCATCGAGAGGCTTGGCCCACCCATGGCCACTGCTGCATGGGCCCAGGAGCGTCTCAATGGCATGCTGGGTAAAATTCCTAACAACCACCATATGGGTATGTTTTTAAGATCAATATTTGTTTTTGTTTTGTTTTTTGCAATTGGGTAAGAGGGCTAACTTAAATTAAAATTTCAACAAATTTTACAGCGGAGATCCACCGGACATTGACCAATACATGGAATAAGAAATCACGGTATTACGGACTTGAAAATCAATTAAATGTCAGTGCGGAAAATTTACGTAATGAAGATGGAAGCAAGAAGGTGCAGAAGACAATGCCAAAAACCGATAAGAAAGTTACTCTGGATCCAAAAGTGTACAAACAATGGAGAAGACAGATCTCCCAGATTTACCCAGAACATGAGGATCATGGCGAGCTTGGCAAGCATCTAGTAAACATCAAGAGTGTAGACCTTTTCAATCGTAAATATGTTGCAGCAAAGGATTTTCATCTACCATCACCCGGTAACTCAAATGTGGAGGTGTCTCATGGCGGGGATAGATTATTTGGACGCATTAGTTTACTATTTGGGGCTCGCTCTGATGACAATGTTTGGTTTGTCATTCGCCCTTTCACAACATTGAATAGATGGGATGCACCAAAGAATCCATACAAGGAACTCCCACAGCTC